AAACATGCTGCAAAACACTGCTGGAATAAAAATAAAACTTTCATATAACCCTGAATGCCACACACCCAGCACCACCAAACACTTATTGATAGCTTGAACATCTTAAATTCTCTTTTCAGCAATACTTTAATTTATTTAAATGAACATTTTGACTTCTTATTGTACGTCTATGTCAGATTTAACAAAAAGATTCAAACTTTACATTCTAATTGACATTCTAACAATTTTTAAAAAACAAATTGAAATAAGATTTGGAATGCAAATGGCTGCATATCTCAACCTGATATTAAACATAACATATATGTATAAAATATTACATAATATGACATACTGTAGTGATAAATACATTGTCAAAGAATTCAATATATCTAAATAAATTACAATAAAACTGCAAAACTAAAATCAAATATCAACAAAAAAGATTAAAACTATAAAAATAAAAGACCAAGAAAAGATACGTTTAAGACAACTTGTTGTAAGCTTGATTTACTCAATGTTTACTATGTATAGTGTATGTCGTCTGATCGCTGTATTGGGTGGTCTACCACTGACTGCAGCACCTTCAATAATGTTTCTTTTTCTTTATAATTAATACATTGAACTGCCCTCAAAGCAAGGAATATTTATAAGTCTCTAGTGTTCTTAGTTTATGAGTGTGAAAAACTCTTTTTAACAGTTTCACTTGGTTCCAGCATTTTTTAAATACAAAATGGGAACCAATTAGTAAAATTTTTTCTCTTAATTCATTCCCATTTTGTTTATAAAATGATTTTACTAAACCAAACGATTACAGTAATTAATTGAGCTATGGCGATTATTTGGTTTAGTATCAATGCATTGAGTTTCAGGAAGTTTATTATATATACAAATATTGTTAACTGAATATACAGTAGAGCGTCGTTTATCCAAAAGCTGGTTATCCAAAAGCATTCCAGTCAGCAAATTTAAATTTTTGCTAGTGTTGTGGCGTTGCAATCTTTGGCTAAGTCTTGGGCTACTCCAATATTTTTTTGTTTGTGTATGTGTTTTAGCTGGCAGCACTGGCACTTTTGTGTGGTGTTTTTCTGAGGACTGTGTGTCATACTGAATCAAACGTTTTTGATACTAGATCAACTTCTAAAGTATATATATATATATATATATGTATTTTTGGTTTTTATATTTTTCAATACATTTATTTTGTTTATAAAAAATAAAGAAACAAACAATTTTTAATGATACAATAGCCACGATTATTATTTTAAAAAGTTTACATTAGGCTTAACATCAACAAAAATTCAATGCAAAGCGACATGAAACCGAGAGAAAAATTTCAATGTGGGATAGGTTAATATATTTTTTCATACATAATCGGTTATCCGAAAAATAAGTTATTCGAACAACCTCAGTCCCCAATTGATTCGGATAAATGACGCTCTACTGTATTGTGTAAGAACTTTTAAACATAGATATACAGAGATGCAAACTTGAGAAAAGGGCCATCGGTGGCATAAGATCATATGTTATAACTGACAAGTGGGAGGGAGGTGAATGAAAAAGCAATTCCCCATCTATATAATACCTCTCATTTCTGATGCAATGTCATCACTTAAATTTTAAAATATTCATAAACTATCTTAAGTTTATTCTAAGTTAATAAGTTCTAATATTTTCAAATATCATTTGAAACAAATTGTAAAATTATAATGTTACTCAGAGGTTTTCCAATTGTTAAAAAATTTTCATGATGATTCATGGATTTCCTGAGCCACCATTTCTATTTTTTTTTTCTTCTGTGATGGAAAAATATGTCATGATAACTATAATTCAGAAATGGATAGCATGCCGATCGTTTAATAGTAGAAATTTCTTAACATATAGGCGTTAAAATACAAATGAATGTTGCTAGATCGACAAGCGCTTTCGACGATAATTATTTTCATCTTCGTCAGGTCGTTAAAAACGGTTAAAGTCGTTTTTTTTTTTAAATATGAATATCAAATTATTTCAACGGTATTAACGTTTTGGAATGAAAGCAACGGTAGAATGCAAGAAAATAAATTTAAATAAAAACACGCGCAATTATAATGCCCATGTGCTATAAACCTCCAAATTGTGGAGCTAGGTACGTTGTCTTAGGCAGTTATACAAATTAACCCACAAAGAGGGCAAATCAAGTGTGGGAGTGTTGCACAAATTTAGTATGTTGGTAAGGAAGGCTTCCCAAATATACACAAGGCTTCTGTTATTACAATGTCTTAGTATGACCACCTGACCCCACAACTGGGTGTGTTGGTGTTGCAACACCATTCTAGCGAGCTCAGTTTCACTCTTACCTGCCCTGATAGAACACTGATGTTCCGAAATATGATAAGACAACATTCTAATTGTTGTGCCAATATAGTGAATGCGACCACCTGACATATTTTCCAGTGGGATAGAATAAACCCCCGATCTTTCTACTGTGAAAGTAGGATCTCTGTCATTGGAAAGAAACCTCCTAAGACTTGGCCAAGGAGAAACTGGCAAAAAAGTGCATTTCACTTAAAAATATGGCAAATACGGACATTGACATGACCACAAAATGGTAGAGTGGGAAAGACTATTGTGGATTCTTTTGGGAGCTGTAGTGTAGTAGAGGGAAAAGTTCTTTTTACCTTATTTAAGATGTGCATAAACTTGGCAATAGTATAGCCCGCCTCATTTACTGCAGAGTGAATAACATTAAGCTCAATATCGATAGCAGCCTGGCTGGAAGATAACAGAAAGGCCCTTCTGATTAAAGGGGCAATTGCCGCATTAATGTTGCAAGTGGTATGCTGTAGCAGGAATTAGGAAAGGAACACCGTGAATTTGTGGAATACGGAGTATACTATAGTATCCTGGGACTTAGTAATTTTTAGATCCAAAAATGCAATTTCCCTTTCATTGTCTTTTTTTAAATGTAAAATAAACGATCATGAGAAAATCTTTGAAAGCAAGGAAATCTTCATGGGTGTCCTGCCAAGCTACTAGAATATCATAAACGTATCTAAGATATAACAGCAGATACACTATTGTGAAAAGAAAGCTAAAAACCTTGAATTCAATATTCCTCATGATCAACTCCGCTAAAACCGCTGAAAGTGGTAAGCCCATCAGGACTCCTTGCTGCTGTAGATATACTTTGCCCTTGAACTGAAAATAATTATTTTTGGAAATAAAAAGTAAAGCTTCGCATAACTCTAAAACTTCTTGCGCTGTAAAGCCCGTCTTGATTAGTAGCACATTAGCAAGCATAACAGCCTCAAACTGCAGTACTGAGGAGTAAAGAGCAACTACATCCAACTTGTAGAAACTATACTCATTTTGTGAAATGTCGTTTAGGACAGAAGGTATATGGGCCTTCACCATAATGGAGGAAGATGTAACCAAACAGGAAGGAGGTAGGAGACCACTTAATAACTTGGCCAGCACATTTTCAAGATGGAAGGCTGGATGGGTCCTTTTATTAACTAACAGTCTCAATGGCCAACCCTCCTTATGGGTTTTAACCTCGAAAAAAAGCCTGGGGCAAGCTACGTTGAACGAGGGATCGACACGCCCGGGAAGAGCAGAAACAGTTGGAAGAGATACTATTTCATTAACTTTTCTTAGGACAGTATATGTTGCATCAGATTGCAAAAGCACCGCATGAAAATGGCTGAAAAAGTCAGTGGCCCTGGTTACAAAATCTTCCTCTTTACATAAAACAAACTTTTTCTCTTTGTCCAAGATCAGGTGCCGTAAATTGTTCATTTCCAATTATCTTATAAGGCGGCTGTTGACAATTTCTGTTGGCAACCATGAATTGCTTTTGAGAAGTGAGCATAGAAACAATGGAAAGTTCCATGTTTGGGAACTTGATTGAGGCTTGACAACTCTTCAATACTGCCAGAAACGCAGGGATCATATCTGATGTGCAGGTACCACGTGGTGGAGGGATAAATTTAGGTCCTTTTAATGACCTGGCGAAGACAAAAATAATTATCATTAAAAGTGCATGTCGATCTAGCGACATTCATTCGTACTTTAACGCCTATATGTTAAGAAGTTTCTCCTATGTCATGATAACTTTAACCTACATATTTTATGTATNGTGGTGATTTCTTGTAACCGTGAATGAATCAAAAGACGAGATAAGATTAACGAGAGCATTTATTAGCTTACATACATCTGACGTGGATTTTACACATATTGCGAAATTATACCCCGACTTATGCGAATTCGACTTACGTGGTTATCACTCGGTCCCACCTATCGCGTAAGATCGGGGTATTACTGTATTTATTTATGAATCAATTATTTTATAACAGATTTTTAAAATAAATTTAAATTTCTCATTCAATAGAATAAAATTCATATAAATAATGGAATTCAAGACTTTGTCTATGCCATTCACACACTACACAGTCTTTTTCATTTGGGCTATTCTAGTGTGTCCAATCATGATGTCAAAAAAGTATATGTCATTTTTGATGTGTGAGTCACTTTTTGACAGGTTTTAGCATAATTGTGAAACTTTGGTCATGCACAGAAACCATTTTGAGACAGATCCTTAGCTGCTTGCAAATTGGAAGCACTCACTGTCTGTGGTCTGTACATTCCACGTTATTGGTATGAATTGCTGTTTGGTTTGAGATTCAGCACACTAGCAATTCTCAATGAACAAAGCACTAGCTAGCACCTGTATGTGTTGTTGCATTATTATACTTATTAAAAAGTATAAAAGATTGCTCCATAATTTTTACAGAGTTATCTGTAAGTCTGTAATTTACACATGAATTTCCTAGAAACTATAAAAGTTATAGTAGTTGGCATCTTTGCATACATATGAGGTCTGCTCAAAAAATAAGCGGACTGACGTCATAAAACAAAATGTACTTTATGTAGAAGTTATATATCTGGGTCCCCTTCAAAGTACTCTCCTTCCCAATGCACACACTCATCCCAACAGTGTTTCCACTTGTTGAAACAGTCCTAGTATGCTTCTTTTGTAATGTCCTTCAGTGCCTTCGTCGCATTTGCCTTAATTTCGAAAATCGTCTCAAATCTTCTCTCTTTTAAGGGTCTTTTGAGTTTGTGGAACAAAAATAAGTCACAAGGAGCAAGGTCAGGTGAGTAGGGGGGTGGGGAAGAACAGTGATCCAGTGTTTGGCCAAAAACTCACAAGTTCTGAGGACTGAATGAGCTGAAGCATTGTTGTGATAAAGAAACCAGTTGCCACTCCTCCACATTTCTGGCCTTTTACGATGGATGGCGTCCCTCATATGTTTCAGAACTTCAATGTAGTAAGTCTGGTTCACTGTGGAGCCTTGGGGGAGGAACTCGTGGTGAACAGAACCCTTAGCATCAAAGAAAACTGTCAGCATCACCTTGACATCAGATCCAACCTGACAAGCTTTTTCGGGTCTGGGGACATTTCACCCACCCACTGGGACAATTGGACCTTTGTTTCAATGTCATAACAATAAACCCATGATTCATCACCTGTTTCAAAGCAAGTCATTGTTCCATCAGGTCATTCATTCTGAAATCTGACAAATGAAAAAAATCACACTTCACTAAAAACCATGTAGCTAATCAATAAATAAAGATATCTGTAATCAGGAAACAGTTTTATCACCAGACAATCTGTACAAACCTAGCAACACCAAGCAGATTCCCCTGGAACCAACTGGAGCCGCGCAATTAAGTCTGCATATTTTTTGAACAGACTTCTTATACTAACAATGGATAAACAAAAAATAGTAATTTTAAGCACAATTCCTTCAATGTAGTCTGACATAGTACTTGGCATTACATTTATACCACAGAATAGTAATAATAGTAATAAAAATCAACCTCTACTTTTAGATTTTGATGATTTTTCATTATCTTCATTTCCAGAATTATCTTCACTTGAATTACCACATTTCCTAAAAAATAAAATCATATATTATAATTTCATAAATCACAATAATAATTTATTTCACTTTTCTTATATATGTACAAACAAAATTTATATATAAACAATATCTCAGATAATTTAATAAAATGCTTTTTGTCTACATCTAAAATTATTATGTTAGACAAAAGTTTTCTAAAGATATTCATCATCTAAGCATGACAGATCTAAAAACACAATATCAACTTTAGCCAAATATATCTAAAAATTATCCATAAGATAAAATACTTGGTAGTATAGTTGATCTAAGACTACAAGTAAAGCCTAGATTCCTTGAAAGGTCACCAGAAAATCTTTGAAATTCATTAAATAGCACATTTCAAAAATCTAATTTATTATCATCACACAATTTTAAATTTGCAAAAATTAATCTGCTATACACATTCTTTTCAATTAAAGTAAGACATATGAAATGCAGAATGTATTGAGTGGAATACTAAACAATATGTTACTTTTAGCTATTGTGAGAGTAGCCTGGGGTACAGGGTTGGTTTATTACTCCTGTATCACTTACTAGGCACAGATTAACTGAAATCTGTCTCCAAAGTTTCAAATCGAGAGATCCGATCTATAAAAGTTTCATAGGAGAGCGATAACCGCTAGTTGATCCGAACGGCGAAGTTCAGATGCTCGTCAGGACTGACACCAGTTTGTCAAATAAAACTCCGCGGAAAAACACGCGTGTGAGATCTGATTCGGATACAAAATTAAGAAACATTTTAATTAAAAACGAAATAATAAATTTAATAAAACAAGAAAATAAACTCATACAAAAATGTGGATAAACGAGAGACAGAACTACTACAAATAATATACAAATCGAGAGATAGCTATACTTATCTTATACCCAAGGCGCGATCGAGAGAGAGAGCTCACAAAATCGTTATAAAACATACAACCTGTTTCAGTGGTCGTTCGTCTTCTTCTCTGTAGGTAAGGGACACTTTGTAGATAAAGTTCATTTACTTCTTAACATGGGAGATCAATATGTGCACAAAATCAAAGTACAATTTTTAAGTGCAGACTCGGGACTTAATCTATGTGACTCGACTAAGGGCGTTGGTCATCAGGAGGAAAAACATATGGAGTTTGGACGCTTCCAGAACTGTCGCTGAACTCCCCGAATTCGGACAAATTTCCCTTATATTTCAGGATTTACGACCAATCATCTGCTAGAAACTCGTTCATGTGAACGGTTGAAAGGGGAATAAAAGAGGGGTAGATAGTTCCCATCTGAGCGAGATTTTTAGCGGATAAGGGAAAAACAGAGGATGTACGGACTTCCCTCAAAGGAAGTAACATCTGGTATCTATCTTTCCCACGTCCAAAACATTAGTTTTCTCACAAAAATGAAGTAATATTTTGTGACAATAATTTAACATATTTAATAGAAATTATTAATTTAGACCCAGGGCCTTTCGGGTCTCACACTATAGAATTTTCAAATTTCCAATTTTTTTTAGTGGAATATCATATTTGGAATAAACAATACAGAAGCATGTTTCTAAATTTAAGTTTTGAATTTTGACAAATTAATTCACTGGTAATCTAAATTTGTTTATTTCTCATTAAATTACAAATTATTTATAATTTAATTTTTGTCATTAATTAAAGTTAAGAATCGAATACATTTAGATTGCTACATTTAGCTGTTCAAAGTGTCAATCTTGAAATCCAGGAATTACAATTCAAGTTAAAATAATGGAATAAAAGACACCATTCCTGATCAAGCAATTCTGACAGCCATTCAAGACTCATATTTAATTAATCTGTGCTTAATTTTGTGTAAATGAATAATTTGTAAAGACACTGTGATGACTGTCACTCATCCCCTACTGGATGCAGTGAGCAAGTTATCTTGTTCTAATATCAAGATTAAAAATTTTCAGTTTTGAGATTAATCAAGCAATAATTGATAAACCAAAATTGTAAAACATCCTATCTCAAAAATATATAATGTAGGTTAACAGTTTAATAAAAATCATATACAGTTTTTACAAGATTGCATGCATAAAACAGCAATTTTCTGTTGTTTTTTCATGCATAATTATGCTGCATATAATTGCCATTCTTCAAATTTGACAATTCTGAAAAATCCTGTAATGTGTCTTCTCTGCAGGTGCCAAATTTCAGCATTGTAAGTTTAAACAAAGCATGATGTTGAGCTTATTAGATATTATTTAATTTTCAGAACAATGTCCTTGACAGGAAAGTTTGAAGAGCTCCCTATGAAAAGCCTTCAAACTTTTCACAACATGGACTAATGTGAAACAAGTTCAGCTGAAAACAAATGACAACCGGGCAGAGGTGTTTCTCAGAACTAGAAAATGATATTTTGGGGATGAAATAAACCTTAAGTTGATGAAGGTCATAGCGAGACAAGTGTTCCAAGTGATTTGCAGACAATGTATATATTTCATAGACCGTTCACAAAATGTAGATATTGGTTGATTATTGGCTAAATCTTAATTATTGATATTGGTCAATAACATAAAATTACTGACTGATAGTGATAAAACTAGCTAACAAAACATATTAAAAAAAAAAAATTAAATGCTCACTATAACACTGAAAATAATTTGACAATAAATAAATAAACTAAAATATTGAAATTTTGACAATCATCATTCAATACAAAAAATTTTGTCATAAAAATCATTAAATATGTATATGTATAAAAATGATATAATTGTAACAGTTCTATGAAGATATATGCAAATTAGTAATGATTTTGTCAATTTCTTAATAGTGTAAATTTATCAAATCTTGGCAGCATTTAAACTTTTAACTTAATCTATAATTTACTTTTTGT